GTGTGTGTGTGTGTGTGTGTGTGTGTGTGTGTGTGTGTGTGTGTGTGTGTGTTGGAGGGGGGTCTTTAACCTTTTATGGATATCACAAGTGCTTTCAATAATTTGATACCCTGAGTAGAGGACATAGGCTTGGGGTGAATTTCAGTAGAAACAATAACATTTTTGCCAAGCAAACACCAACTGAGAAAAGGACATCACCAAGTAAAACCACCTCTCACACATAAATAAAAACCTGCATTTATCGGTACATTAAAATCCACAAATGTAACCAGAGAGAAATAAAAACAACGACGACGACGACGACAAATCACCCATGACGACACAGTCATTTTCAGCTTTACAATATGCATATACTCATGCATATATAGTGTGTATTTCCCCTTGCATACAGGCGAGTGGTTGGGGACTATAAAGAGAGCCTTTAGTTATATCAACTCCCTCTGCAGAGACTAACACTGATTATTAAGCGATTGATACAAATGAGAGCAAACATAACTCACAGGACAGGCCAAGGGGGCGAGGACACAGGGACTGATTCTGTGCAGCCTTATAAACAGAAGGGGCCAGACAGCCAGAGAGGATGATGGGTAACAGACATCCACTTAAAGCAGCAAAAGTAGGACAGCTTACAGGTGATGGAAAAGAAGATGCTGAGGACCTTTCTCTCCCAGCTTCACATTGTCTGCTTCCCGTTGAGCTCGCAGATGATCAGTACTAACGGCGAAAAATAACGTTAAAATGATCGACGTGTTCCTGCCCGTGCTGCTCACGAGGGAAACTACAGAAAATGTAACAAACAGTTATGATGTAACACAGCGTCTTATAGTAAAGCATCATGGGCAGAGTGCGCATTTGATTACGTGTGGTGGGCATGAGCAGGAGGGTGCGACAGGCAAATACAGGTCGCTGGGTCTTCAAGCGATAACAGCTGCCCCCTCCCACCCCCAACCCCCAACCCCCACCCATACTTCTTTCCAATCCCCTGCTGACATCCTCTTTGGGTCACGTACGAGCTACAGAGGAGCTCAGACAAACAACTGGATCCGCTCGCGGATGGTTTGCCGGCAGATGGGGCAGGTCTTGAGCGCAGCGCTGCAGTCGATGCAGGAGGCGTGTCCGCACTGGAAGACCAGCTTGATGTGGTTGTCTATACAGATGGGGCAGGTGATCCGCTCCTCCATCTGCCGGTAGCGGGACTGCAGCTGCTCCAGCAGGTTGTGCTGCTCCGAGTTCTCATTTCCAGGACTGCAGTCCACCTCTGTTTGGTCTGTGTGTGTGAAGGAGGCATCAATATGAATGTAAATGTCAATTAAGAATGAATTTACAGACTTAGATTAGATCAGTAACATTTACAGGAATAGATGCAAAACTTAAACCTGGTTGAAGGGACACACTGAAACATGTAGGCCAGTACATGCAGTTACATACAACATACAAGAATGGTTTAGTCTTACCTTGTCTAATTTTCTTTGTGATTGTGACTTGGCATTTGATGCATTTCTTCATTCGATGGGCACATTCTGTTTGGACAAGGACCAGGTCAGCAAAGACAGATCAATATGATAAAACATGTTGTCCATTTGATCTTCTTCTTTCATTTCACCTTGTTTTTGTTTGTGTAAAACTGAAAACCTATGTTTTTCCCTCAGTTTCTATCTTCATCATCACTGCTCTCAGTGAGTATTTTCTTTCAACGTAAAGATCCATGTTTCTCAATAACGCACCTTCACAGGCCACGCTGTGCTGGCAGGGGCAGAAGAGCACCAGCAGAGCCAGCTCGGAGCAGATGAGGCATTCGCTGGGCCCCGGTGGCGTGGGAAGAACCAGGTTTGTCATGGTGTTGGGCGTAGTGTGGACCCTCCGCAGGCTCGCACTGCTCAAGCCCTGTCCACTTGTGATGGCCTGCAGACGCTGCAACCTGATAGACAACACAACACTCGCTGTAACAATGCATAAAACCCAGTGCATTTTTTTCCAGTAGTAAAGTAAATCCCACAGACAGTAAACATATAATTTACACATCACACTGTCAATGGAATATACTGTATATGAGAACATATGTATAAAGAATGTGTTTTTTGTAACTACCTGTGCTTCTCTGAGAAGTTTTTGATGAGCTGCAGCATTGTGCTGTCAGCCACAAGGTCCAGAGGACTCTTGCCCTTGTGGTTGGCATAGTTGATGTCAGCCCCTTCCTGTGCTAGAAAACAGGCCATAGCTGCCCCGACGCTCAGCTCCGTGTTCCCCAGAAGACCTGAAGCGCTCAGCTGTGGATACACACAAAGGTGATGGGAAGAGAGAAAGAAAGAGGATAGACAGAAGAAGGCAGAAGTCGTTTGAGTCAAAACACACGCTCAATAAGGCCAAGAACTTGTGCAAATGCTGACCCAAAAACTTTGTCAAGGACGATGTAAACAAGGTAACTGAAACAAAACCAGTGCAATCCAGCTAATGCCGCTACATAACCCCAAATCTAATAAAAACTCATCTGCTGACACTGGTCAAAACAGCTCTGAGCACTTAAGTCTACCCACCTTCAAGGCTGTGTGTGTGTGTGTGTGTGTGTGTGTGTGTGTGTGTGTGTGTGTGTGTGTGTGTGTGTGTG